CACCATCATCATCGCCACCACCACCGTCACCACCACCATTATCGTCACCACCACCATCATCGTCATCACCACACCACCATCATCATAGCCACCACCATCATCATTGTCGCCACCACCATCGCCACCACCATCATCATCGTCACCACCACCATTATCGTCACCACCACCACCATCACCGCCACCATCATCATCGCCACCACCATCATCATAGCCACCACCATCATCATAGCCATCACCATCATCATCGTCGCCACCACGACCATCATCGCCACCACCACCATCATCGCCACCACCACCATCATAGCCACCACCATCATCATAGCCACCACCATCATCATCGTCATCACCACACCACCATCATCATCGCCACCACCACCATCATCATAGCCACCACCATCATCATCGCCACCACCACCATCATAGCCACCACCATCATCATAGCCACCACCATCATCATCGTCATCACCACACCACCATCATCATCGCCACCACCACCATCATCATAGCCACCACCATCATCATCGTCACCACCACCATCATAGCCACCACCATCATCATCGTCACCATCATCATCATCGCCACCACCACCATCGTCACCACCACCACCATCATCGTTGTCGTTATGTATTATTCACATCGCGTTATTCAGAATGAACACACACCGTGTGTCCATTCACAGCGTACCAAAACAACTTGACCGCATTAGAAAAAACACACTTTCAAACGCTAAAGTGCGTGTCCAAAAAATAAAAGTTCCCATCTGTTCCGCAGGGCTGTTAAACGTAAAAACAAACTAGTTTTATCTGGCTGGAGGGACGTTCACTTCCTGTGCTCGTGTCGCCAAACACGTCACGTGACTGGCACGTGCCGCACGCGAGACCGCACAAAGCGAGGCCCGCGGAGAGCGAGGGAAGCAGAGAGGGAGACCCGCGGAGAGCGAGGGAAGCCGACGCGAATGGATTTGCCGCTGTGCACGCTGAGTGTGCGCCTACCAACCAGTCGTGAGCAATTTGCCCCGGGGCAGCGGGAATTCATGGTGGGTCGTGTCAAAAGGTCAATGCCCTGAAAGCGAGCATTGAGCAGCTGCTATTTGTACCGCACCGTCGCCCTGAGCAAAATTGTGGACATTCCACATTCGTGTGGCCGAGTTGTCCGAGATAAGCGGTGGCCCGCACGTGGATAGCGATCGTTACGTACACACATTACACCCACACACACACTCACTCACCCACTCACTCACCCACTCACTCACCCACTCACTCACCCACTCACTCACTCACCCACTCACTCACTCACTCACCCACTCACTCACTCACCCACTCACTCTTGGTTAGGTGCGGTGTGAAAGAAGTTCAACATACACACATTACACTCACCCACTCACTCACCCACCCACTCACTCACTCACTCACCCACCCACTTACCCACACACTCACCCACCCACCCACTTACCCACACACTCACCCACTCACTCACCCACCCACCCACTCACTCACCCACTCACTCACCCACCCACTTACCCACACACTCACCCACTCACTCTTGGTTAAGTGCGGTGTGAAAGAAGTTCAACATACACACATTACACTCACCTACTCACTCACTCACCCATTCACTCACCCAGTCACTCACTCACTCACCCACTCACTCACTCAATCACTCACCCACTCACTCACCCACTCACTCACTAACCCACTCACCCACTCATTCATTCACTCTTAGTGAAGTACGGTGTGAAAGAAGTTCAACATACACTCACTCACCCACTCACTCACCCACTCACCCACTCACTCACCCACTCACCCACTCACCCACCCACTCACTCACCCACTCACTCACCCACTCACTCACTCACTCACCCACCCACTTAACCACACACTCACCCACTCACTCACCCACTCACCCACACACTCACCCACTCACCCACCCACTCACTCACCCACTCACTCACCCACTCATCCATTCAGGGTTGGCTACGTGCAGCAGCCGCTGGGCCTGCACGTTGACATCGAGATCCTGAACCACATCGCTGCCATCCACGCGCACGAATAGATTGGCGCTTGTGGTTGATTGCCCTTTGGCGTGTCACGCCGGTGTGACGCCGGCGCTGTTGGCCCCTGCGTGGGTAAATAAAAGCAGTACAACCGGTCAGCAACTCCACTCCCGATCCAGCTGAAACCGGACGAGGAGCCGTTTCACAATCGGTATGAAGGTGGCCTGCGAGTGCGATAACTGACGTCTCCGATTGGCACGGGTTGGCGGCGTACGGTGCGAAAAAAGTTCAACACACGTACATACACCGCACCTCCGATTAGCGCGGTTGGCTACGCACGGCGCAAGATACATTCAGCACACGTGTACATTCATCCGTCTCACACCCACTTACATTTTTTATCTTCTTGGTTCTTTCGGTAAAGTCACGTAGAAGGGAAATAATAATATAATACCAATAAAACATAATTGTATTCTATAAAGTATAAATTTAATTATTTTATTATTTCCCTTCTACGTGAAATAATAAAATAATACCAATAAAACATAATTGTATTCTATTATGTTTTATTTTTATTATTTTATTATTTCCCTTCTACGTGAAATAATAAAATAATACCAATGAAACATAATTGTATTCTATTATGTTTTATTTTTATTATTTTATTATTTCCCTTCTACGTGACTTTACGTTGAACTTCATTCGCAGCCTCCGTAGCCGGACCGCACTAATCGGAGGTGCAATGATGGCACATTCACGCTTTGATGACACGTGATTTTGAGGATTGATTGTGACGGGCGAGTTACTAACATCGGGGAACGCCGAAAGACGGCGTTGGCTTGGGGAAGCCTTCATCCAGCAGTGAATCGATGATGATGATTGGGAAAGGGCTTGAACTACGATCTACACACTATGAGACCTCCTTTACCAGTGGCAAAATATAGTAATAGGTTTTTACCCTTTCAACTGGTTCAAAAACTGACACCTTTATTCAAGGCATCATGTTTGCAATAACCACAACACAAGCAGTCAAAATGCAAACAAAAAGAAACAACTCTGATGATGATGATAATGATATGCACTGTCCTTTAAGTTGATTGGTCCACACCCGAGACAACACCAATGGAGACTAGGCTCTAAGAAAAGCTGTCTCGGGTGTGGACCAATCAACTTCAAGGACAGTGCATATCATTATCATCATCAGAGTTGTTTCTTTTTGTTTGCATTTTGACTGCTTGTGTTGTGGTTATTGCAAACATGATGCTTTGTATAAAGGTGTCAGTTTTTGAACCAGTTGAAAGGGTAAAAACCTATTACTACGATCTACACAACAAGGAACTTAGCCGTGGCTTTAATAATGAATGAGAGTTTCGGTTGTCCGTCTGTTGTACAGCTTTGCGCCGCGCACACCTCAAGAGACATAAATAATTCTGCTAACATGTGTTGAGCGTGTGCGCTCGCGACTGTGGTGATCGCCGTGAACAGAATTCATAACGAATTAATCATCAAATTGTTCCACATTTCCTCCGACCAGCCCGCTCCTGTCAATGAACTATTTCCCGCTCCGAGGCATCTGCCAAATTGCAGTGCTTGGGTGTCCCATTCAGCGACGAATCTCGGAACGCCGCAAGACGGCTCAGCGTTCAATTTCGACTTAAAGCTTTCGTGACTGCAGGGATTCATCTTCTTGGTTCTTTCGGTAAAGTCACGTAGAAGGGAAATAATAAAAATAAAACATAATAAAATTAAATTCTCACGACGTTTCGGCCACAACGCAAGCAGCCGTCCTCAGGTGAAGAACAGGTCAGACGCTGTCTTTATGACAGCCCTGTTCTTCGCCTGATGACGGCTGCTTGCGTTGTGGCCGAAACGTCGTGAGAATTGTATTTTATTATGTTTTATTTCTATTATTTTATTATTTCCATTCTACGTGACTTTACCGAAAGAACCAAGAAGATGAATCCCTGCAGTCACGAAAGCTTTAAATCGAAACATTAAATAGTTTAGTTTTACTTGTGTATTTTTTTTCCAAGTGATGTGTTTACATTTCCTGTTACTTCGAACTCCGATCGTGCTTTTTCACTGCGCCCGTTGTTGTAATGGTCTGACCCCGTGCTTTATAGCACATCGGATTCCTCCTGAAGTATAAACACATTTTATGATTCTGACTTGCTCCAAGCGGTACTTTGTGTTTATCGACCTCGAAAGGACGGTGGGAGGAGATGCGAGCCCGGGACAAGGAACTGAATTCACATTCTCACTACAACAACAACAAAAACTGCTCGCCTTTTGGACTGACAGCGATGAGACAAGGCCATATGGGCAATGCTAGTCTTTGAGCCCATAGACTAACATTGGTGTAGACCAATCAGTTTTAAAGACGATGCATTCTACATGATCAGAGCGCGTTGGATTGTATGTTCATCACAAGGAGCATGTGTGCTTAATGCAGTTACCTGATTCCTTGCAAAAGGTTTCCATTTGGTGTTTGGACATCTTAACACCTATTCTCTTGTGATATCGCCAGAAAGGGTAAAACCCATTCTTGTTTTTCATACTTTGAGACCGGCAGAAAAGGTCTTCCATGATGTAGCTGCTCGCCCTGAGCGACACATTCTCGTTGTGCCTACTCCTCCTCCTCCTCTGCTGAAGGAATGCAGACCACTGTGGGTTTAGGATATTGACCACAGACTGACATTGTTGTCCATAGACTTATATTGCTCAGAGACTAACATTGCCCATAGACTAGCATTGTCCATAGACTAAGATTACCCATAGACTTACATTACCCATAGACTAACATTGCCCATAGACTAACATTATTGCCCATAGACTAACATTGCCCATAGACTAACATTGCCCATAGACTAACATTGCCCATAGACTAACATTACCCACAGATCTGCATTGCTCATAGACTTACATTGCCCACAGACTAACATTGCCCATAGACTTCTATTGACATGCATAGCCTTACATTGTAACTTTTCTCTCTTTCCCGGCACAGCTGACAAGACCGACCTCAAGCGAGGCTCAACGACGATGGCGCTTTCCCCGGACACCGTGAAGGCCGTCACGAAAGTGTCGGGGCTCAACGTGTGGAGGGTCGAGGTGTGAAGGACAGTCACACTCCCACGCACGCACACACACGCACGCACACACGCACGCACGCACACACACACGCACGCACGTACGCACGCACACGCACGCACACACACGCACACACGCGCACGCACACACGCACACACACACGCACGCACGCACGCACACACGCGCGCACGCACACACGCACACACACACGCACACACGCACGCACGCACGCACACACACGCACGCACACACACGCACACACGCGCACGCACACACGCACACATGCACGCACACACACGCACGCACGCACACACGCGCGCACGCACACACGCACGCACACACGCACACACACACACAAGATAACGTCATCTTCCTCTATTTAAGACCAGAAGCAGGTGGATTGCTTCACTCGTCTGGTGTAGGCCAATCAGTTTCAAAGACAACGCAGATAAATGATCAGTGCGTGTTTGTTTGCATGCTCATCACAAGCACCGCGTGTGGTTAATGTAGACTTGATGCCTTGCAAAAAAGGTTTCTCTTTGGTGTTTGAATATCTTGACATCTATTTGATTACATTTTGATACTGGCAAAAAGGCCCCATAGATACGCGGTATTCGTGATGTATGTCTATATGGGGGGGTGTAGCGGTCAGCGCTACGCTACGAACCCGGCGACACGAGTTCGATTCCCGCTCACGGCCAACACCGCCAGTGACGATTATATCTAAACCACTCCTGGCCCTCCCCGAAATCAACTCGGCCTCATATGAACACCTGGTACGGTGCGGTCAACATCGCCACTGGGGAAACAAAAGCGGCCGCGCGTGGATGCTGGGCCACCCACCCCCTCGCGTGTCACCGTGCCGGCCTTCACAGATGCTGCTACTCGCTAACAGCACTTGCCCCGACAGTCCGTTGAGGCTACACGGGGCGTCTTTGTCTTAGCGCATGGCCTCCCGTGAATCACTTCGAGGGCCTTCCTCTCGGTGTCCTTTCAGAACATGGCCCTCGTGCCGGTGCCACCAAAAGCCTTCGGAAACTTCTTCGAGGGCGACTGCTACGTCCTGCTGAACGTGAGTAACGCATTGCGTTGGAAGGCCGCACCGCATTCAAAGCCGTTCGTCCGCGAACAAAGCACGACACCTCGCGGCGCTTTCAGACGCGCTCCTGCAGCCGTCTGGAGCGCCCTCCCTTTTAAACCGTGTTCTAGATTGACCAACTCGTTTCTTTAGAACTGCCTCTTGCGTGCTTATTTTGGTGTCCTTCCCCCCGCACCTCCGATTAGTGCAGCTGGCGACGCACGGTGCGAAAGAAGTTTAACGTTCATGCATACCGCACCGTGCATTGCAAGCACACACGCACACACGCACAGAAAGACAAAAACAGCACAGACCACATTCACCACCAAGTGGCAGTGACGTGACCACGGCGCTTGTGCCAGGCTAGGTGCACGTTTGGAAGACGTCACGTGAAGTGTCGAAGGCTTTTGCTGATGACGGGTCGTCACGGGACAGACCACGCTGTTGTGGGTTGACTGAGATGACCGGCAGATGCACCGTCTATGCCCTCCACCGTGCTAACTTGCTGAGCTTTAGCCGCCCGGCGCTCCGCTCATTGTTGTGAGCGTCGCTCCTCTGCCATTCATTGTTGCTGGAGTGGGCGACTGCCTCCAACTGACCAGTAGCAGCATCCTTCACGAGCCTCCTCCACAGAGGCCGATCTTGACACCGCCGGTACCGGTCATCGGCAAGTCCGCTCAGCTCCACATCCTACTGTACCACATCACTCCATCTCTTCTCTAGCCCGTGCTGCGCCCGTTTAGCCCCCTCGATCCGGCCAAACAAAAGCTGTTAAGGCATGCGGTGGCTGGGCATGCGGGCTATCCTCCTGTAAAGCATCAGTCCATCTCATCTTTAGTCCGTGCCGACACACACACACACAGAGAAAGACAAATATCCCCCATATATCCTATAATCAATACATTGGCAATGTATAAATTCCAATAATAATACCATCTGTGTGAACATGACAATCTCATCAGGTGGTGGAGGGGTTAATGAAAAAACATTTTTGGACTAAAAGCCACCACCAAGTGACCCCAACCCAAAAACAAACATGGACCACGCCGACACTGCTGACGATGATGACGATGATGGTTATGACGATGATGGTTATGACGACGGTGATGATGATGATGGTTATGACGATGATGGTTATGACGACGGTGATGATGATGACGGTTATGACAGTGATGACAGTTATGACGACGATGGTGATGACAGTTATGATGATGGTGATGACGATTATGACGACGGTAATGACGGTTATGACGATGGTGACGATGACGATTTGATGACGACGGTTATGACAATGACGACGATGACGACGATGACGACGGTGATGACGACGGTGATGACGATGATGACGATGACGACGGTGATGACGACGATGATGACGGTGATGACGATGACGACGGTGATGACGATGATGACGATGATGACGATGACGACGGTGATGACGACGGTGATGACGACAGTGATGACGATGACGACGATGACGACGGTGATGATGACAGTTATGACAATGACGACGATGATGACGATGATGACGATGATGACGGTGATGACGACGGTGATGACGATGATGACGATGACGACGGTGATGACGACGGTGATGACGATGACAATGATGACGATAATGACGGTGATGACGATGACGACGATGACGACGGCGATGACGACGGTGATGACGACGATGACGATGATGATGATGACGACGATGACGGCGGTGATGACGGCGGTGATTACGACAGTGATGACGATGATGACAATGACGACGGTGATGACGATGATGACGATGACGATGATGACGACGGTGATGACGATGATGATGATGACGATGACGACGACGACGACGACGACGATGACGGTGTTGACTGCGCTCGGCGCACGGTGCGCAGGTGCTGAAGTCTCCGAGCGGCGCGACGCTGGACGTGCACTACTGGCTGGGCGGGGAGTCGACGCAGGACGAGCAGGGCGCCGCCGCCATCCTGTGCACCCAGTTGGACGAGCAGCTCGGGGGGGCGGCCGTGCAGCGGCGCGAGGTGCAGGGCAGCGAGTCCGACACCTTCAAGGGCTACTTCAAGTCCGGCGTCATGTGAGCCGGAGCGTTGTGCTCGTAGCCGTCGTCGCGATCGTCGCGATCGTCGCGATCGTCACCCCCGTAATTAGTGTGTCATTATAATGTGATCATCATTAGTAGAGCGATCATCAACATCGTCATCCCCATAATCAGTGTGTCATTATAATGTGATCATCATTAGTAGAGCGATCATTAACATTGTCAACCCCGTAATTAGTGTGTCATTATAATGTGTTCATCATTAGTAGAGCGATCATCAACATCGTCACCCCCATAATCAGTGTGTCATTATAATGTGATCATCATTAGTAGAGCGATCATTAACATTGTCAACCCCGTAATCAGTGTGTCATTATAATGTGATCATCATTAGTAGAGCGATCATCAACATCGTCAACCCCATAATTAGTGTGTCATTATAATGTGATCATCATTAGTAGAGCGATCATCAACATCATCATCCCCATAATTAGTGTGTTATCATTATGGTGATCATCATGATCATCGTGATCATCCTCATAATTAGTGTATCATCATTACAGTGATCATCACGATCATCATCGTGATCATTCTCAACACCATTGTCACCATTCACATCGTGGTCCTCATTAGTATCAGTATTATCAGCATAATCGTCGCCATCATCATCATCATCACAAACGCCATTATCAGCATCGGCAATCATTGTCATCATCGTCTTCGTCCTGATCATCTTCATCGTCGCACGCAATGAACGAGTCGTTAGCCCCAGCCCAGATCATTTCTCTGCGAGGCCCATGGTTTAGTTCTGGCTCGGCTCGGATGTGCCAGTGGAAATGGGGTGCTCACGAATCGCTTGCGTTGCTGCTGCATGCGCTGCGGTGTGTGAGGCGGCGTAACGCTTAGTGCGTTGCGCTGCGAACCCGGTGGCCCGAGTTCGATTCCCGCTGATGGACACCAACACCGGTGACGGTTATATGAACCGGTCGTGGGCCTCCCCTAGGTCGACTCAGCCTCAAAATTAGTAGATGCTGCCGCGTGTAGAGTAAACATCGCCACCCGGGAGACAAAGGCGGCCAGGCGTGGCGCTGGCCACCCACCCCCTCGTGCGCCGTGCCGGCCTTCATAGGTGCTGCTCGCTAACAGCCCTTGCCCCAACAGTCTGTCGAGGCTACACGGGGGGTGGGATCTTTGTCTTTTCTTGGTTCTTTCGGTAAAGTCACGTAGAATGGAAATAATAAAAGAATAAAAAGAAAACATAATAAAATAATTCTCACGATAGGTCTGACAGACCTGTTCTCCACCTGAGGACGGCTGCTTGCGTTGTGGCCGAAACGTCGTGAGAATTATTTTATTATGTTTTCTTTTTATTATTTTATTATTTCCATTCGACGTGACTTTACCGAAAGAACCAAGAAGATGAATCCCTGCAGTCACGAAAGCTTTAAATCGAAATCTTTGTCTTTACTCAGATACAAGAAAGGAGGCATTGCATCCGGCTTCAAGCACGTGGAGAGCAACACCTACAACGTGAAACGGCTTCTGCACGTCAAGGGCAAGAAGAACGTGACGGCCAGCGAGGTGACAGCCCCCGTCCGCCCCCCCTACCCCGCCTGCCACATAGTATCTTGATTTCAGGATCCTAAGACGAATACTATTATAGCAATATAACTTTCTCCCCCCAAACTCCGTCATATAGTATCGTGAACCTACACATTCCACAAGTAGTGACTAATTCCATATCTGCATTTTCCATAAATATGCTAAATCCCTCTGTTGATATGCAAATTCCTTTGTCAAGGCGCCCTCCTCTTCTAACCCAGCTTAAATATACGCTACCAAGCTTGGTGGTGTTCATTCAGACTCTGTCTTTCCGACAGCCCTGTTCTTCACCTGAGGACGGCTGCTTGCGTTGTGGCTGAAACGTCGTGAGAATTGTATTTTATGATGTTTAATTTTTATTATTTTATTATTTTCCTTCTACGTGACTTTACCGAAAGAACCAAGAAGAAAAAAAAAACTATACTGATACACATAATCAACGTTTTTGGGTTTAGATCGCGTTATTTATAAATGTGTCGTAACCCTCCAACACCCGACACGGCCAATCAGTAAAAAAAGTGTCACGCTGACAAAAGACAAAATAGTTCACTGCTTTAGCCCCACACCTTTTTGTTGAAGCGTGAAACCACAACATTTACAATTTGAGTACGACGGATGCTTGTGTCGCGCCCGAAACGTCGTAATCTATTTTATTGTTCTACCCACGTGACTTTACCGAAAGAACCAAAGAGTATGGAACCCTGCAGTCACGAAAGTTTCAAATCAAGATTATACAGATACTATTAGAGCACTATAACCCCCCACACCTACCAGGGTACAGAATACTATATGATCCCTGAACCCCAGGGTACAAATACTACTACAGCGAAAGAAACCCCCTCTCCAACACACACCGGTGTGCCAAAGCGGCGACACATCCAGAAAGTTTCTGTTCACGTTAACGAAACGTGCCAATTCGGTTCCGTTGTTACGAGAGTAAACCCACGACGGCATTTACAATTCCAGTAGCGCCGTGACGTGTCGCCTGGCGGTTACAACAACAACAACCACCAGCTTCGTCAGGTGATAGTCAGAATTGTGAAGAAGTCGTGCTGATTCCCGTCTTAGATAGACGGAGTAGAGGTGATGTCACCGCCTGTGAGGCTGTCATGTGCGCAGATCAGAAGGGGGTTAATGTCGTCACGTAAATTTCGATTTAAAGCTTTCGTGACTGCAGGGATTCATATTCTTGGTTCTTTCGGTAAAGTCACGTAGAAGGGAAACAATAACATAATACAAATTTCAAACAATGAAATTCTCGCAACGTTTCGATTGCAACACAAGCAATCATCATCAGGTGTGAAAACCACAGCAAGAAAGTAAAAAATAACACCACTTTTTTAAAATGTTCTTGCTGTGGTTTTCACACCTGATGATGATTGCTTGTGTTGCAATCGAAACGTCGTGAGAATTTTATTGTTTTATATTTTATTATTATTTTATTCTCAATGGATCATATTAATTTGAGAATATGCAGGATCTATCACCGGTTGGGTTAGTCACAGTTGATCAACAAGCAATTATAACCTGAATATGTATGCAATGAATGTGACATCACCATCATATTGATGTTGTTGTTGTCTAATTATGGTTTGGTTGACGGGCGCAGGTGGAGCTGTCGTGGGACAGCTTCAACACGAGCGACGTTTTCCTGCTCGACATCGGCAAAGTCATCGTCCAGTGGAACGGCGCCGGGAGCAACCGCATGGAGCGCCTCAAGGTCGGTGCCCGGCTCCACGCCCTCACCGCTCCACCGCCACTCACTCGCCACTCCACCGTCGCTCCCTCGCCACTCCTTTGCCAATCTCTCGCCGCTCCACCACCACTCCTTCGCCGCTCCCTCATCACACGTACACGCACACACACACAGCCACGTGGCATGCCCGGTGTGTTTTTTTCTTCTTCAAAAACTATCGTCGACCTAACAACGTGCTCGCTCGCTGGCTCGCTACGGCGCCCCCCCCCTCCCTCTACCGCCAGGGCATGAAGCTGGCGATGGACGTGCGTGACCGCGAGCGCGGTGGCCGCAGCCAGATCGGCGTGGTGGAGGGCGACCGCGAGGAGGAGAGCCCCGACCTCGTCGCCGCCATGGCCGGGATCCTGGGCCCCCGCAAGGGGCCCCTCCCCGAGGGGGCTCCCGACGACCGCGCCGACCAGCACCAGAAGTCCAACGTGAAGCTCTACCAGTGAGAGGCCTCGCAAGGGGGGCCCACGGCCGCCCCGTCGGAGCGGCCCGGGGGCGGGGGGGGATGTAGCGAAAGGAGATGCAAGGAGATGCAAGGAGGCGGTGACGTGTGGACTACGGAAGCAGAGCTGTCAACCCCCTTATCAGTGGCCATACCTTGTTACAGACAAATTCAGGCTTCGTTGTTCGCCCCGCGCCCCTTATACATCTCAATGTTCATCCTACAAAGTCACATGGCGAGGGAGAAACACAAACAATAGACAACCACCACTACTGCACTCACCCCTAGTGCTCACCATTGCATACCTGTCAACCCCTAATCAGTGCCCTACCTTGTTACAGACGCAAACAAAGAAATAGACAAAATGTGATTGTTGTTGCCCTATTGAAACGGCTGTACACCGTATGGACCTGAAAACTCAATTTCCCTGCACAAGAATACGGAGTAAACTGTGTGGGTTGACACGGTATGCAGAAGGGACAACAGATGTGTCGTTCACGGGGGTCCCACGCTCGTAGCTGTGACGGAGAAACAGGGAGGTGACGTGCAGGCCGCGGTTGGGACGCGTGCCACGAAACGAGCCCGCGGTGCGTGCGGCCCCGGGGAGGCCCTCATCCAGCAGCAGAGTGACCGTGGCCGATGTTTGTGCTTCCGCCCCCCAGCGTGTCCGACTCGGAGGGCAGCCTCGTGGTTCAGGAGGTCGCGACGAGACCCCTCACCCAGGACCTCCTGATGCACGATGTAAGTCTCCCCGAACGCCACGCGCCGCCGACGGTCGTCCCGGCTTTCGCCGTTGGGCCGGCGGCGGCGCCGGTGGTGGTGAACGCCGGACGCGGCGTGCCAAGTGGATGATGTTGGTCGCGAAGAGCCCACGTGTTAAAAGCCCGCTGTGAATGTCCACGGCCCAGTGGTTCTTAACCTTTGCTGGAGCCTTGCATCCCTAAGTGATTGTTGTTGTTACAATGTTCATAAGCACGTCGGGTTTGATGCCCCGTGCTGAATTTGTGTTTTTGATCATTTACCGTCTAAATGTTTCGCCACTCCAACAAGGGCATCTCGCACCCCCAGAGGGTGCGGAGTGCACCTCACGTAAAATGACCGCTGGCCCACGCGATGGCGAGCCATCATCACTCGTGGCCAGGTCGACTCAGAAACAAGGGCCTCCATATGGCTCTAGATTTGAAGCTTTCGTGACTGCAAGGATTAATATTCTTAGGTTTTTTCAGTAAAGTCACGTAGGTAAAAAAATTAAAATTAATTAAAGTAAAAAAAAAATAAAGTCACTTGATACAGAAAATCTGGCTGTGACGGTCCCACCTGATGACGGAGACTTGTGTTGCCTCCGAAACGTCGTGATTTTTTTCATTTATTTTACTTTTATTAATTAAAATTTAAATTTTTTTATCTACGCGACTTTACCGAAAAAACTTAAGAATAGGCCTCCATATGGCTCAGTGGGCTTTAACCCGGCGCAATGAAACGTGCATAGTCGTGCAGTTGATCTGATTGCACCGTGACGGTACCGTGCGTGTTTCCCGTGGGCAGGACTGTTACATCTTGGACCAGGGCGGTTCCAAAATCTTCGTGTGGAAGGGGAAAGGAGCGACCAAAACGGAGAAGAAGGAGGCCATGAGCCGTGCACTGGTGAGTTGTGTGGTCCAGAGGTCCCCACACCACCAGTGGGTCTCAGGGTGAGGTCCCCACACCACCAGTGGGTCTCAGGGTGAGGTCCCCACACCACCAGTGGGTCTCAGAGTGAGGTCCCCACACCATCAGTGGGTCTCAGAGTGAGGTCCCCACACCATCAGTGGGTCTCAGAGTGAGGTCCCCACACCACCAGTGGGTATCAGGGTGTGGTCCCCACATCACTAGTGGGTCTCAGAGTGTGGTCCCCACATCACCAGTGGGTCTCAGAGTGAGGTCCCCACACCACCAGTGGGTCTCAGGGTGAGGTCCCCACATCACCAGTGGGTCTCAGAGTGAGGTCCCCACACCATCAGTGGGTCTCAGAGTGAGGTCCCCACACCACCAGTGGGTCTCAGAGTGAGGTCCCCACACCACCAATGGGTCTCAGAGTGAGGTCCCCACACCACCAGTGGGTCTCAGGGTGAGGTCCCCACACCACCAGTGGGTCTCAGAGTGAGGTCCCCACACCACCAGTGGGTCTCAGAGTGAGGTCCCCATACCACCAGTGGGTCTCAGAGTGAGGTCCCACACCACCAGTGGGTCTCAGGGTGAGGTCCCCACACCACCAGTGGTTCTCAGAGTGAGGTCCCCACACCACCAGTGGTTCTCAGAGTGAGGTCCCCACACCACCAGTGGGTCTCAGAGTGAGGTCCCCACACCATCAGTGGGTCTCAGAGTGAGGTCCCCACACCACCAGTGGTTCTCAGAGTGAGGTCCTGTGGGTCTCAGAGTGAGGTCCCCACATCACCAGTGGGTCTCAGAGTGAGGTCCCCACACCACCAGTGGTTCTCAGAGTGAGGTCCTGTGGGTCTCAGAGTGAGGTCCCCACATCACCAGTGGGTCTCAGAGTGAGGTCCCCACACCACCAGTGGTTCTCAGAGTGAGGTCCTGTGGGTCTCAGAGTGAGGTCCCCACATCACCAGTGGGTCTCACAGCCCACCCCGTAGCTCGCTCTCGGCGTTGACGCGTCGATCCTCGCCGTCGCAGGGCTTCATCAAGGCCAAGGGATATCCGTCCTCGACCGGCGTCGAACTGGTGAACGACGGTGCCGAGTCGGCCGTCTTCAAGCAGCTCTTCCAGAAGTGGAGCGTGCCGGGGCAGACCGTGGGCCTGGGCAAGGCCTACAACGCCGGCAAAATCGGTGAGGGCCGAGAGCGCTCGGTAACCACGCCGCTCTCTCTCTCTCTACTTCTCTCTCCGCGTCGCCTCGGTAACCGTGTTGCTCTCTCTCCACATCGCCTCGGTAACCGTGTCGCTCTCACTCCACGTCGCCTCGGTAACCGTGTCGCTGTCTCCACATCGCCTCGGTAACCGCGCCACTCTCTCTCTCTCCACTTCTCTCTCCATGTCACCTCGGAAACTGTGCTGCTCTCACTTCACATCGCCTTGGTAACCGTGGCACTCTCACTTCACATCGCCTTGGTAACCGCGCCGCTCTCTCTCCACGTCGCCGCGGTAACCACGCCGCGTGCCCCCACAGCCAAGGTGGAGGACGGCAAGTTCGACGCGACGCTGCTGCACGCGCGGCCGGACATCGCGGCCCAGGAGCGCATGGTGGACGACGCGTCCGGCGACGTGGAGGTCAGGGTCACCCCCCCCCCCCACTGCCCCCCACTGCCCCCCACCCAGCTCAGGTTACCACCTGTCCCAGTTTTCCAAGGAACGCCACCGGTCCACGTTACGCGATCCGCTCGTTGCTCGCCGTGCCGAGCGTCCTCGCGGTTGCCCCGTGGGGTGGCTCGGCTGCCCGGAAGCGGCTCTGCCAGGGGAACTGCGGAGTTTACAGCTCGCGCCAGTTGAGTCGCTGAAGTCGTCGGCCCGGGTGGAACGATTTGGCCAAAGATGCCGGGTGTCGGCGCGTCACTTGCTTTGCCTCCGGGAGGAGAAATAGCGGAGAGCCCCGAGAAAACACACGTGGTGAGAGACAGAGAGAGAGAGAGAAAACAGAGAGAGAGAGAGAGACAGACAGAGACAGAGAGAGACAGAGAGAGAGACAGAGCGAGACAGAGAGACACACACACAGACAGAGAGAGACAGAGAGACACAAAGGGACAGAGAGACGACCGAGAGAGGGACAGAGAGAGACACACATAGACAGAGAGAGACACACAGAGATAGAGAGAGACACACACACACAGACAGAGAGAGACAGAGAGACACAAAGGGACAGAGAGACGACCGAGAGAGGGACAGAGAGAGAGACACATAGAGACAGAGAGAGACAGAGAGAGATAGGGAGAGACAGAGAGACACAGAGACACAGAGCGACGACCGAGAGAGAGACAGAGAGAGACACACAGAGACAGAGAGAGACACAGAGACAGAGAGACAGAGAGAGAGAGAGACACAGAGACAGAGAGACAGACAGAGAGAGAGAGAGACAGAGACAGAGAGACAACAGAGAGAAAAAAACGTAGACACTCCACACAGAGAGGGCCGCAGCGAGTTGGGAGTCTAACCCAGGCCCCATCGTGCCGCGAGGTCACGGGCGTTTGCCACCGCCACCCGCCTGCTAACCGCGGCCGTCGCTGCGGATTGCCGGGCGCAGGTTTACCGCATCGAGAACCTGGAGCTGCAGCCGGTGGAGAAGAAGTTCCACGGGCAGTTCTACGGCGGGGACTGCTACCTGGTGCTCTACACCTACCTGAAGGCCAACAAGCCCTCCCACCTCATCTACATGTGGCAGGTACGACGGCTACCGCCACCGCTACCACCGACGCCACCACCGCCGCCACCGCCGCCACCGCCGCCACCACCGCCACCACCGCCGCCACCACCGCCACCACCGCCACCACCGCCACCACCACCACCGCCGCCACCGCCGCCACCGCCGCCACCACCACCGCAACCACCACCGCCACCACCGCCACCACCGCCGCAAACACCGCCACCACCGCCACCACCGCCGCCACCACCGCCACCACCGCCGCCACCGCCACCACCACCACCGCCACCACCGCCACCACCGCCGCCACCACCGCCACCACCGCCGCCACCGCCACCACCACCGCCACCACCACCGCAACCACCGCCACCACGACCTAACCCGCAAAAAAACCCTGTATTATGGATCTAAAAGTATGTGATAATAAAATTATAAAATCCATTTTAAAGCGTAATCAAGTAAAAGATAAATTTCGATTTAAAGCTTTCGTGACTGCAGGGATTCATCTTCTTGGTTCTTTCGGTAAAGTCACGTAGAATGGAAATAATAAAATAATAAAAATAAAACATAATATAATAATTCTCACGACGTTTCGGCCACAACGCAAGCAGCCGTCCTCAGGTGAAGAACAGGTCTGTCGGGAAGACTTCAGACTCTGTAAAGTAATAAATAAAATAATGTTACCCCTATCCCCTCCCATTGATGCTGCTAATCCTGCATAATGCACGGGCATAATGACTTTAAACCCCTCTCCAAACAAGTAGTATTAATCGCATATCTGCATTTCCAATAAATATGCAAATTTCTCTTGATATGCAAATTATTTTGTCAAGGCGCTCTTCACCCCTCCATCCCAGCTTAAATAGTCGCTCCAAGCCTGGGGCTTGTTATTCAGACTCTGTCTTCCCGACAGACCTGTTCTTCACCTGAGGACGGCTGCTTGCGTCGTGTCCGAAACGTCGTGAGAATTATTTTATCATGTTTTATTTCAATTACTTCATCATTTCCATTCTACGCGACTTTACCGAAAGAACCAAGAAGAAGTAAATGATAATTAGAAAAAAAAATCAAAACGACACAAACAAACAAAAAACCACCCTGTGACGGACGCGCGATCGACCCACCAGGGCCGGCACGCATCCCGCGACGAGGTGACGGCTTCGGCCTACCAGGCGGTGGAGCTGGACCGCCGCTACGGCGGTGAGCCCACGCAGGTGCGCGTCACCATGGGCAAGGAGCCGCGTCACTTCCTCGCCATCTTCCGCGGGCCCGTGGTCATCTTCGAGGTATCGTGGTCGTCGTTTAGTCAGACTGCTGCGGATTGATTTGACTGCTGCTGCTAATGCTGCTGCTGCTGTAAATGTTCACGTGACGATAGGCGACTTCAACGAGCTGTCATTTGTGATAGCCAGGTCGAGGGCGCTACGGTGGCTTGGAGATGTTAACTAGCTCGCCTGGTATACAGGAGGTCGTGGGTTACATCCCGACCCTGACGCCCGCTGCTGTATATTTGGAGTTTGCGTGTCTCTCTCTTTCTCATCATCATCACGGTGGCTAGGAGATGTTAACTACCTCGCCTGGTATACAGGAGGTCGTGGGTTACATCCCGACCCTGACGCCCGCTGCTGTATATTTGGAGTTTGCGTGTCTCTCTCTCATCATCATCACGGTGGCCAGGAGATGTTAACTACCTCGCCTGGTATACAGGAGGTAGGGCACTGATAAGAGGTTGATAAGTATGTAATAGTGTAGTGTATAGTGTAGTGTATAGTAATGTAGTGTATAGTAGAGTAAGTGTATAGTGACTTTGTAGGATGAACGTTGAGATGTATAAGGGACACGGGGTGACCAAAACGGTCTGATTTGTTCTGTTATAAGGCAGGGGCACTGCTAAGGCGTTGACAGGTATGTAATAGTGTAGTGTATAGTGTAGTGTATAGTAATGTATTGTCGCGTAGAGACTTATATAGTGACTTTGTAGGATGAACGTTGAGATGTATAAGTGTCAAGCGAGGTCTGACTTGTTCTGTAACAAGGCAGGGGCACTGCTAAGGGGTTTCAGCCGTGTGACGGCGAAGATGACGACCCGTCGTTGCGCTCCAACAGGGCGGCACGTCCCGCAAGGGCGGCCAGGAGCTCGAGCGAGCCACCAGGCTCTTCCAGGTGCGAGGGACAGGCAGCCACAACACCAAGGCCATCGAGGTGCCGGCCTGCGCCGGGTCGCTCAACTCCAACGACGTCTTCGTGCTCCAGCAGCCCAACCACTGTGACGTGTGGTGCGGCAAGGTGAGCACGGCACGCCAGAGGTCGCAACCGGCTACCCGATACCCGTACCCTTACCCGATACCCGGCTACCCGTACCCGGCCGGGTACGGGGGTACGGGTACCCATTTGCGACCCTGGCGCGGCCGGGTACGTGTACAGGTAGGCCGTGAGTCACTGGTGAGTCACCGTTTGTCACTCATTTCAGGTAGGGTATGGGTAGCGTACGGGTACCCGTACCCGGCCGGGTACGGGTACCCGTTTGCGACCCTGGTGCGGCCAGGTACGGGTAAGGAATCAAAACCCGTTTGCGACCTCTGTGGCATGCGGGAGATGCCGCGGGGGGCGTCGCGCGCCGGCGATTAGCGAGGTCGGCGGCGTATGGTGCGAGAGAAGTTCAACGTACGTACATAGACTCGCACAGAGACCCGTGGACTCACACAGAGACCCACAGACTCACACAGAGACACATAGACTTACACAGAGACCCATAGACTCACACAGAGACCCATACTCACACAGAGACCCATAGACTCACACAGAGACACATAGACGTACACAGAGACCCATAGACTCACACAGAGACCCATACTCACACAGAGACCCATAGACTCACACAGAGACCCATAGACTCACACAGAGACCCATAGACTCACACAGAGACCCATAGACTCACACAGAGACCCATAGACTCACACAGAGACACATAGACTCACACAGAGACACATAGACTCACACAGAGACACATAGACTCACACAGAGACCCATAGACTCACACAGAGACCCATAGACTCACACAGAGACCCATAGACTCACACAGAGACACATAGACTTACACAGAGACCCATAGACTCACACAGAGACCCGTAGACTCACACAGATATCTATACTCACACAGAGACCCATACTCACATTGATACACATAGACTCACACAGAGACTCGCACAGAGACCCATAGACTCACACAGATATCTATACTCACACAGAGACCCATACTCACATTGATACACATAGACTCACACAGAGACTCGCACAGAGACCCATAGACTCAATTCAGAGAGCAGAGACCCAGATTCACACAGAGACCCATACTCACACAGAGACCCATAGACTCACACAGAAACACGTAGACTCACACAGAAACTCACACAGAGACCCATACTCACACAGAGACCCATAGACTCACACAAAGACTCATAGACTCAACGCAGAGACCAATAGACTCACACAGAGACCCATAGACTCACACAGAGACCCATAGACTCAACGCATAGACCCATAGACTCAACGCATAGACCCATAGACTCCACGCATAGACCCATAGACTCACACAGAGACCCATAATTCGTTGTCCTTCCACGTACCTCCGATTAGCGCGGTTCGCTACGCACACCGTCACCACCGTCACCACCGTCACCATTCCGCCCGCGGTGATTCGCGTCGCCAGGGCTGCAGTGGCGACGAGCGTGAGCTGGGCAAGTCGGTGGCCGGGCTGCTGACCCGCGGCGACAAGGTCACCGTGCTGGAGGGCCAGGAGCCCGTCGACTTCTGGCTGGCCATCGGCGGCAAGGCGGCCTACGCCAGCGACAAGCGGTGGGTGAGCGCGGCGGTGGGGCCCCCCGCGGCCGCGGCCTGAGCGGCGGCACCGTGCGCGGGCCTCGTGTCGGGAACCGGGCACGGACGCCTGCTGTGTATTTGGAGTTTGCGTGTCTCTCTTTCTATCTCGTCACACGTGACCCCGACCGAATCGACTCCCCTCTTTCTCTCTCTCTGTCTGTAAACCTCGGTTTATATTTTCTTCTCAACTCGTAACAGTTGGGGGCAAAACTCAACGATTCTCCAGGTTTTCTGCATTGCTCCCGCAAATAAACGCTCACCAATTGGCCGAGAACACCTTAACAGATGCAGGACTGCAGAGCTTGGCCGAGGTGCATTGCTATGCGGCCATAATCGAACCGATCGTTACGAATCCTCGTACGGTGGTGGATTCATCACGGTTGACGATGATAATGATAACTGCATACCTGTCAACCCATACGGTTCAACCCATATTCTTGTGCAAGGAAATTGAGTTTTCAGGTCCATACGTCGTACAGCCGTTTCACACAGAGACGGAGGCTTCTCGCGGTCAAATCCGGCGACCCGGATTCGATTCCCGGCTTGCGGCCACCAACACCGGCGATGATTGATCTGAACCGGTCCTGGGTCCTCCCCTAGGTCGACCCAGCCTCAAATGAATAGCTGATGCGGTGCGCGAACTTCCCCGTGGCGTGGTGCTGGCCACACGCCCCCTTGTGTGCCGTGGCGGCCTGAATAGGCGCTCGCAAACAGCGCTCGCTGCACGTGATGCCCTGTTAAAGGCCTCGCGTGTCTCCACACATCTGATTAGCTGGGTTAGCTCCGTATGGTGTGAAAGAAGTTCAACATATGGACATGCACAGCACTTCCGATTAGCACCGATGGCTACTTACGTTGCGAAAGTTCAACGTACCATTGGAACCTCATTTGCCAGTAAAAATATGATAAGTGTTTTTTTTACCCTTCTATCTGGCAACAAAACTGACACCTTTTTTTACAAGGAGTCATGTTTACATAGACCACAATACCTGCAGTCATAATGGAAACACAACTCTGATAATGTGTTATGTTTTTTGTTTGCAAAGGTGTCAGTTTTGTTGCCAGGTAGAAGGGTAAAAAAACAATTATCAAGTTCAACGTACATACACAGCACCTCCGATTAGCACCGATGGCTACGTACGGTGCAAAAGAAGTCCAACGTGGGTCCGTGCGATGCGCCCACAGCTTGCAGGAGGAGGCGACGGACTTCATGCCGCGCCTCTTCGAGTGCTCCACGCAGAGCGGCCGCTTCTTCGTCACCGAGGTGGCCGGCTTCACGCAGGACGACCTGGACGAGGATGACGTCATGCTGCTGGACGCCGGCGAAGAGGTGCCGCCACCCCCCCCTCTCCCTCCCCCCCGCCCCCGCCCCTCGCCCCTCTCCTCCCCCTATCCAAACACCCCTCGCCCCTCCCCACCCACCCCGCCGAGGCACCGGGGCGATACTGTGGTGCATCGACGATCGATCTGCGATCGGTGGTCACTGGGTTATTGCCGACGGTGTTGGTCGTGATCTCGCCCTGGGCGCAGCGGGCCGAAGCCTGCCGACACCTCCGGTCGGGGGTGAGGGGGGAGCAGGGAGAGGGGGGGGTAGCAGGGAGCAGGGGGGGGTAGTGGGGGGGAGCAGGGGGGGTAGCAGGGGGGAGCGGGGGGGCGAGTGGGCAGGGGAAGTGGGGGACGGGGGGATCGGTGAGCGGGGAGGGGGGGAGTGGGGAGGGGGGGAGCGGGGAGGGGGGAGCAGGGTTGGTGTGAGCGGGCAGAGGAAGCGGGGGCGGGAGAGCGGTGAGTGTGGGGGGAGCAGGGGGGAGCAGGGGGGGAGCAGGGTGGGGGGGGGGGGAGAGCGGTGAGTGTGGGGGGAGCAGGGGGGAGCGGGAGGTGGAGTGAGGGGGGAGCAGGGTGGTGGGGGGGGGGAGCGGTGAGTTGAGGGGGGGGAGCGAGGGGGGGATCAAGGTGGGGGGAGCGGTGAGTTGGGGGGGGTAGAGCGAGGGGGTGATCAGGGTGGGGGGGGGCGGTGAGTTGGGGGGAGGGAGCGAGGGGGGGGGGACCACGGTGGGGGGAAGAGCCGTGGAGCCATCTCACCATCTCCGTGTACCGACGGTTCTCTCGTTGGATGCCGGCTGGCATTGCCGCCACCGCAGCTCTTCCTGTGGCTGGGCAGCGGAGCGAGCGAGAAGGAGCGCGTGGAGTCGGCCGCCACGGCGAGGGAGTTCCTCAAGTCTCACCCGTCGCAACGGGACCCCGACACCCCCGTGGTGACCGTCAAGCAGGGCTTCGAGCCGCCCACCTTCACCGGGTGGTTCATGGCCTGGGACCACCTCAAGTGGAAGGTGACGCGCGAGCTTCTTCCCCGGCGGTCGCGAGCTCGGCTGTCTGTGGCGTTGGCTGTCTGATACGCTGGCTGTCTGATACGTTGGCTGTCTGTGGCATTGGCTGTCTGATACGTTGGCTGTCTGATATGTTGGTTTTCCGATACGTTGGTTTTCCGATACGTTGGCTGTCTGATACGTTGGCTGTCTGTGGCATTGGCTGTCTGATACGTTGGCTGTCTGATATGTTGGTTTTCCGATACGTTGGTTTTCCGATACGTTGGCTGTCTGATACGTTGGCTGTCTGTGGCATTGGCTGTCTGATACGTTGGCTGTCTGATATGTTGGTTTTCCGATACGTTGGTTTTCCGATACGTTGGCTGTCTGATACGTTGGCTGTCTGTGGCATTGGCTGTCTGATACGTTGGCTGTCTGATATGTTGGTTTTCCGATACGTTGGTTTTCCGATACGTTGGCTGTCTGATACGTTGGCTGTCTGTGGCATTGGCTGTCTGATACGTTGGCTGTCTGTGGCATTGGCTGTCTGATACGTTGGCTGTCTGATATGTTGGTTTTCCGATACGTTGGTTTTCCGATACGTTGGCTGTCTGATACGTTGGCTGTCTGTGGCATTGGCTGTCTGATACGTTGGCTGTCTGTTGCATTGGCTGTCTGATACGTTGGCTGTCTGATATGTTGGTTTTCCGATACGTTGGTTTTCCGATACGTTGGCTGTCTGATACATTGGCTGTCTGTGGCATTGGCTGTCTGATACGTTGGCTGTCTGATACGTTGGCTGTCCGCTATGTTGGCTGTCTGATACGTTGGCTGTCTGATACGTTGGTTTTCCGATACGTTGGTTTTCCGATACATTGGCTGTCTGATACGTTGGCTGTCTGATACATTGGCTGTCTGATACGTTGGCTGTCCGATACGTTGGCTGTCTGATACATTGGCTGTCTGATACGTTGGCTGTCTGATACGTTGGCTGTCTGATACGTTGGCTGTCTAAAACGTTGGCGGTCTGATACGTTGGTTTTCCGATACGTTGGCTGTCTGATACATTGGCTGTCTGATACGTTGGCTGTCTGATACGTTGGCTGTCTGATACGTTGGCTGTCTGATACATTGGCTGTCTGATACAATGGCTGTCCGTGAATGTCATCTGGGAGTCTACATGGCTACTGCGTCGAGAGATAAAGTGATGAGATGAAGTGATGCGTTCTTATAACTTGCAAGTATTTCATAGCTTATTTATGTATTTATTTAAGATAATTCATTAAAAAGGCCAATATCTTTATCTTCCAAATTTGCTATTCACGAGCAAGGAAGAGACCGATAGAGACCCACGACGAACCAGAGACTCGTATAGAACTGTAGAGACCCACAGAGACTCACAGAGACCCACAGATATCCATAGAGACTCATATGTACGTGTGTATGTTGAACTTCTTTTGCACCGTGCTAATCGGAGGTATGAGGGCGGGAGGGTTGGACAAAAAACTAAACTCACAAAAATCAGGTGTAAATATGCGACGCGGTTGATGTTGTCGAGCTGCGTGCACTCGCCTCGTTGCGCGAGCGACGAATCGCCTCCAACCTCCCGTCCGTCATCACAACTCTTATTACCAGGTAATGCCCACTGAACTGCTTTATAGCTCTTTTTCAGAAGCGACCTGGCTTCAAATGATAACTCAATGAAGCGGCTTATCACTGTCGTCGCGTGCAAATGTATCGCAGCCACACATTCCCTAAATGCGTGATATTGATTCTAAATGTGTAGGGAAAAACCGGTGGGGGGGGGGGGGGGGGGGGGTGAAATCCACGTGACCATGGGGAGATAGGGACACCGCAAACTAACTTCAAATATACAGCAGCAGGCGTCAGGTTGGGATCGAACCAGCGACCTCCTGTACACCAGGCGAGGGAGTTAACATCTCCTAACCACCGTGATGATGAGAGAAAGACACGCAAACTCCAAATATACAGCAGCAGGCGTCACAAGGGTTGGGATCGAACCCACGACCTCCTGTATACCTGGCGAGGTAGTTAACATCTCCCAGCCAAAGTGGCCGCCTTCTCATGCCTCCCGTTCACCGTGTCATTCCAGAGCGCCAAGTCTTACGAAGATCTCAAGCTGGAGCTCGGGGATGTGACGGGGATCTCCCAGATCACTGTGGTGAGTTCCACTCCACTCCACCAATGATGGCACCGCTCTCCACCTGCAACCCCACTCCCCCATCTTCCCCCGGTCTCTCTCCCCTGCCTCTTTCTCTCATATTATCACACTTGTGCTGTTTAGATTATGGTCGTCAAACTCCTCGTTCTGTCGGTCGTGCGGTTATCCCTCGAGGAGGCCCGCTGCTGTACTCACTCGTTCTCTGCAACGTTGATGATGTCTGTGCTGTTATTTGTAAACGTGCGTTTCGGGTATCTGGCTGCTGCTCTACATTTCCGCCACTGTGTCGAGCCATCATTTGTGGCCAGGTCGCCTTTCCACAGCTAAGTGGGCCTAACCTGGTAAAAAAAGAAAAAAAATCAAGTTAGTTCTTCGGGAAGCGAAATCTCGCTTCTCCCGCGGGGGTCACGGCACGGAATATCGACGGCCACTCGCCCCCTCGTCCCGGCAGGACATGAACAACAAGGCGAGCGTCGGGGGTCAAAGCAAGCCGGGCGGCGGAAGCGGCAAGGCGGCAGCAGCCACCGCCGGCGGTGGCGGCAAAGTCGCCGGCGCCAAGGCGTCCTCGGGGAGCAAGTTGCCGGGAGTCGGAGCGCCGGGGCTCCAGCCGCAAGGCTACAAGAGCGCCGCGGACGAGAAGGCCTCCGCCAAGATCGCCGACGTCGGCGGCGGCGGAGGGGGCGGCGCTACCCAGAATTCCGTGGGAGGCGCGAGGCAGACGACGAGCGCCGGTGCGGGGACCGGAGCCGGAGCCGGCGGGGCGGTGGCAGCTCAACCAGGCCACGGCGGGGGTCACCAGCCCGGCGGGAATGAGGTGGACGGCGCCCACTCAGGGCCCTACCCCCCGGAGTGCCTCGTGAACGTCGCGACGGAGGATCTGCCTCCTGGCGTGGACCCCAGCAAGAAAGAGGTGAGTAGCGGGGACGGTGGTGCGGCATGCGCAGTGGGGACCGGCCAGTTCTCTGTGCACTCGTAGATGTGAGACTAGGCTCTAAGGAAAGCTGTCTCGGGTGTGGACCGTTGTAAGTAAATTACGAGGCGAGGGGGAGGTGGAACGTGTATTTCTAGAGAGGCAACAAGTTTGGACTTGTGTGTGACGGTGGCCGTGTGGTGGCTGCCTGTGGCTCGTGGCCTGGGCCTTTCGGGAGGTTTTCAAAAATGAGGAATGCACCATTGGAACCTCATTTGCCAGTAGCAAAATATGATAATTGTTTTTTGACCCTTTTTTCTGGCAACAAAACTGACACCTTTTCGTGCGCCTTTTGGCGTCATCTGGTCCAACACCATGTGAGACTAGGCTCTAAGGAAAGCTGTCTCGGGTGTGGACCAATCAATTTCAAGGACAATGCAGAACATCATCAGAGTTGTGTTTTTTGTTTGCTTTCCGACTGCAGGTTTTGTGGTCAATGCAAACATGACTCCTTGTAAAAAAGGTGTCAGTTTTGTTGCCAGATAAAAGGGCAAAAAAAACAATTTTCAATTATCATGAGGAATGCAATCACTGACTTGTCGCCACCTCGTCTTCTCCGACTTCTTCTCCTTCTACGAACACTGATCATCATAAATAATATTCAGGGCCTACCTTGGCTCCTCCCACCCTCAACCAGTATTTATACAAATACTGTGTCCTTGGAATCTCTCTCACTTGATACAGCTATCGTGCTGTGACCGTTCCACCTGAAGACGGAAGCTTGTGTTGCCTCCGAAACGTCGTGATTTTTACTTATTTTACTTTTAATAATTTAAATGTTTTACCTACGTGACTTTACCGAAACAACCTAAGAATACTGATCATCTTCGCATCGTCTCCGCCCGTCCCCCGCCGTGCTCCCCCCAGGTCTACCTCGGCAGCGAGGACTTCGAGAGGATCTTTGAAATGTCTCCATCGGAGTTCGCCGGCCTGCCCCAGTGGAGGCAGAAAGAGCTGAAGAAAGCCAAGGGCCTCTTCTGATGAGAGCGCAGCGGCACGGCAGAAGCACCTGGGACGTCATCTCATCTCATCCCCCCTCACCCCCCTACCCTCCCCCCCCCGGCTGCAATCTTAGCCAATGGGAGGCCACCTTTCTCCCCCCAGTGGTAGTTGTTCCTGGCAGTAGGATGGGAGGGTCGATGTTACTCTCCCGTTCGTGTGTGTGGGAAGCGGTTAGCGCTACGCTGCGCTACGAACCCGGCGACCCGGGTTCGATTGCCGCTCACGGCCAACACCGGTGACAATTATCCGGTCCTGGGCCTCCCCTGGGTCGACTCAGCCTGAAATGAGTACCCGGTGCGATGCGTAAACATCGCCACTGGGGAGACAAAGGCGGCCGGGCGTGGTGCTGGCCAACCACACCCTTGTGTGCCGTTTCGGCCTTCGTAGGTGCTACTCGCTAACAGCCCTTGCCCCAACAGTCTGTGTACAGGCTACACGGGGGATCTTTGTCTTTGTGCTTTGTACGTGCTGTTTTTTTTTTGTTTTTCATCCGAATTAAATTTTTACCAAATTTGGAACATTATGGACCATGGTCTTCCGCGTGGTTGGCTCGCAGCCGTTTTCGAGCGCTGACAACGAGAGTTTACGCGGGGTGAAAAACAACGGGATAATTGAAAATAATAACGATGTTTTTGCTCACTTTAGTTTTCCTGACGCCTGCTGTATATTTGGAGTTTGCGTGTGTCTCTCTCATCATCATCACGGTGGCTAGGAGACGTTAACTACCTCGCCTGGTATACAGGAGGTCGTGGGTTCAATCCCGACCCTGACGCCTGCTGCTGTGTATTTGGAGAGGAATATTGGCATTCCGGCCGTCCTTCCGCAGAAAATAACGATCTTTACAATAAGCGGCCTTCACGGATTATCATGACGCGTCGCACCTCGGCAGCGTTGCCCCCGACTTCCCTTACAACGGCGACGCTTCGCAAGACAGGCAACGCCTGAGTTCGAGTTAATTTTGATCCGTTGCGCCAGCGTTTCCTCCGCTAATTCCCAGAGGTGATGGCCCGCTTTCGCCGATAAGACAAAGTCAGCGCGCGAGGCCACGCCACGCCATCTGACACCATTTGGTTCGTCGGCTTTCAACGCGCAGGCTTTCGCCACCAATATTTTCCCGTGGTGACCGTTGTGGGGCTTAACTCTCCAACGCTCAACCCGTGTGCGCCGAAGTAGGAACTCATTGGCGCGTTTTGTGCTACGTGCCAAACCTTGCTGTTTGGCTGCGGCGGGTTTAAGGACGCGTTTTTATTTACGAGATCTAACCCAAAAACTCTCATGAAAACCATTGTTGTGGTTTGACAGTAGCACGACGATGATGATGATGGGGTGTTGTCACTGTTTGTGTGTGGTCGTGGGGGGGGGGGGGGGGGGGCACGTCAGGGGCCGCACTAAAGGCCACCAGGGAGACCGTCAGTGGCCCCGTGGGGGCCTTGCAGTGAAGGCCCACAGCGTCACGCGGATGGCACTTCCCGTTGAGCCGGTCGTTGCCGCGGCTGTCTTGCACGAGAGGTGCACGGCGTTGCTTGAGCCACGGAGACATCAACAACAACAACAGCGGAGACAACAACAAAGACAACAACAACAACAAACACAACAACAACAGAGACAAAAAATAACAACAGACACAACAACTACGGAGACAAAAGCCACAGAGATAACAACAAGTGACAACAACAACAGAGAAAACAACAACAGAGACAACAACAAAAACAACAACAGAGACAAAAAAACAACAACAGACAACAACAACAGAGACAACAACAACATACACAACAACAGAGACAAAAAAACAACAACAACAGACACAACAACAACGGATACAAAAGCAACAGAGATAACAACAAGAGACAAAACAATCATTGGAAAGATGTGATTAACCATGCAAAAAAGATTTAACTACACTTAGTTGGCCAATTTTATTTGACAGACTTAGAGCAGGTTTACCATGTTTAGCAGAGGTGGGACAAAGTCATTGTTATGCAAGTCCAAGTCGAGTCTCAAGTCATCAAATTCATGACTCGAGTCTGACTCGAGTCCAAGTCACATGACTCGAGTCCACACCTCAGAGGTGGGACAAAGTCATTGTTATGCAAGTCCAAGTCGAGTCTCAAGTCATCAAATTCATGACTCGAGTCTGACTCGAGTCCAAGTCACATGACTCGAGTCCACACCTCTGATGTTTAGTGGTTGTCTCCTTGTCACAGGTTGAGTCACAAACCGTACCTCTCCATAACAAAGGCTCACCCTCTTAAGCCTCACCTTACCATATGAATAAAAAGTGTGCTGTACGTGCCCCCCCCCTCTCCAACCATTATATAAACGGAGTGGTAGCTCCTGCAATCTCTCATTTACTTGATACAGCTGTCGTGGCTGTGACGGTTCCACCTGAAGACGGAAGCTTGTGTTGCCTCCGAAACGTCGTGATTTTAATTTTCTTTTTCTTTTATTAATTTTAATGTTTTACCTACGTGACTTTACCGAAAAAACCTAAGAACACAGACAAAACAACCACAGAGATGACAACAGCGACAAAAAACGACAACATAGACAATAACAACAACAACAAGAAGAATGTCAACCGCCTCACTGCCCTCTTCAAGGGATAACGCACAAGACGAGAGAGGCGTTGAAACGGTGGTTGGAGGAAACGCACGCAAATCTTAGAAGACGCAGCGAGAGACACCAGGAAAAGGGTTCGCAAGTGCAAATTTTTGCCGTGTGGCTTGGTGTTGCCGTGTGGCTAGGTACAGGTGTAGTATGAGTAGAGACTCCTGACTCTATAGGAGATACGACTGACTCTATTGTATGTAGGGTGTGTAGGCATATATGCCTTCAAATTGTATTTATTTTTTGTTTGGGGAGGTCGACAATTGTTGTAGACCTGTTGAATCAACTTTTTTACCCCCACTTCTGGGAGGGAGGGGAGTGCACTCTCTAACTTTTTGATTCAGGCCTTCTGAAACATCTCATTATTTCATTGACGGACAAAACAGAACGCCGGGCTTTTATAATGGATTTGGACCACGACATGAAAAACAAGAATGGGCTTTATCCTTTCGGGCAAATGAAATCAGGAGGTGAAGAAACGATATCAATTTGATGTAGCTGCCTACCCAGAGCTATAAATGCTCTGATACGTGCATTGTCTTAGGAACTGCTCGCCTTTTAGCAACCTCTGGTCTGACACTGTTGAAACTAGGCCCCTAAAGAAGGCAGTCTCTGCTGTAGGCCAATACGTTTCTAAGACAATGCAGATATTATCAGAGCCATGTTTGTTTGCATGTTCACCACAAGTACGTCTGTGTGTGGTTAACGCAATACTTGATTCCTTACAAAAGGTTTATTTTTGGTCTTTAGACATCTGAACACAACTCCTGTTTTGTTGCCGGAAATGGGCCATCCATTTAGTACGCAAACATCTGCCAAAACTTGACCCCTCCCCCCCCTCCCTGTACGCACGTGGCCTTTTTACTTCCCGCCCACCTGCGTACGTACGCTTGATGCACACACCCCCCCCCCCCGAATCGATTCGAACGGCCGATATTTAATCAGAAACGATCAAGGATTAACAATATTGACGTGTTTCAGCAAACAGATAGTCCACCACCGGACTATCTAACTCATGTGAAGGCCAATGTAGACAAACATTATTATCGAGGATTCACCCCCCTCTCCCGTTTCCTATGCGTACATTGTCAGTAGACCCCCTATACGCAAGCGAACGCATTTGGGTTAACCCCGCCTCCCCGCTCCATGCGTACGTACTAAATGGATGGCCCCAAAGGGGATAAAACCTCTTCTTAGTTTTCATACTTTGATACCGGCAAAAAAAAAAAGGTCCCGTGATTGGACCACGACGCCGACTCTTTTGCAGATCGGGTCCACGGTGATCTTGAAAAAGAAAACATCGTCAACGGCTAAGCGGGACGGCGCGGGGTTTGCGGTATTTACTAGGGCAGCCGCGGGGGGTGCGAACCACGCACAGACCTCTGCAACAAGCACCACACGTGAACGCGACCGAATCGACTCTCCTCTCTCTCTCTGTAAATCTCGGTTTATATTTTCTTCTCAACTATAACAGTTGGGGGCAAAACGATTGCTTTGCTCTCAGCGGCAGCGTTGTGTAAGAGAGGGGGGGACATTTATTGAGAACCATCCCCAAAAGGCCCAGGCCACGAGCTACAGGCAGCCACCGAACGGCCACCGTCACACACAAGTCCAAACTTGTTGCCTCTCGAGAAATGTACGTGTCGCCCCCCCCCCCTTGCCTCGTCACTTACTTACAACGAATGTTAATAAAATGCAGAAAAATCGACGAGACAATCGAGGTTAGTTTTATGTCGCGGATGGCAGACCTGTGAAGATGAAAAGGGTGCCACGGTGGCGAGATGTTAACTACCTCGCCTGGTAAACAGGAGGTCGTGGGTTCGATCCCGACGCTGACGCGTGCTACTGTGTATTTGGAGTTTGCGTCTCTCTCTCTCTCATCATCATCACGGTGGCTAGGAGATGTTAACTACCTCGCCTGGTCTACAGGAGGTCGTTGGTTCGATCTCGACCCTGACACCTGCTGCTGTATATTTTGACTTTGCATGTCACTCTCTCTCTCTCATCATCACGGTGGCTATGAGATGTTAACGACCTCGCCTGGTCTACAGGAGGTCGTTGGTTCGATCTCGACCCTGACGCCTGCTGCTGTATATTTGGAGTTTGCGTGTCTCTCTCTCTCATCGTCATCACGGTGGCTAGGAGATGTTAACTACCTCGCCTGGTATACAGGAGATCGTGGGTTCGATCCCGACCCTGACGCCTGGTGCTGTATATTTGGAGTTTGCGTGTGTCTCTCTGTCATCATCATCATCATCACAGTGGCGAGGAGATGTTAACTACCTCGTATGGTATACAGGAGGTCGTGGGTTCGATCCCAGCCCTGACACCTGCTGTATATTTGGAGTTTGCGTGTCTCTCTCTCTCATCATCATCACGGTGGCGAGGAGATGTTAACTACCTCGCCTGGTATACAGGAGGTCGTGGGTTCGACCCCGACCCTGACGCCTGCTGTATATTTTTAATTTGCGTGTCTCTCTTCCTGTGGTCGCGTGGCTTTTTCTAGAATCAACGTCACGCGTTCATGGGTATTTGGCTGCTATCAATGTCCCCATGATGATGATGCGCCACTTCGTTGAGCTATCATTTTTGACAGCCAGGTCGCTTCTGAAAACGAGCTACATAGCTCAGAGGGGGCTTATCTGGTAAAAAAAAAAAATTCCAGGGCATGGGTCAAGGCAAAGGTGAACCCGGGTAAGATGGAGCTCACCTCATGGCGTTGTTGAGAACAGATTTTTTTTTCAGATGTCTGCCCGTCACCAGAAGACCTCCACATAATCCGAAAAGTTGCTTCCGAGGGAAAAATTCCTTACACCTACTACTAGTGAGAATGTATTTATGGAAACTATTGCCTTTTATTTGTTGTTGTTGTTTAAATGTCCACCAACTTCCACAGAAGTACTTTTATTACCCAGGACAGTCCATTCGCCAGGGCCACGTGGTCACGCCATGGGACAAGTGTAACCACTTATTCATCTTCTTGGTTCTTTCGGTAAAGTCACGTAGAAGGGAAATAATAAAATAATAAAAAGAAAACATAATAAAATAATTCTCACGACGTTTCGGCCACAACGCAAGCACGAAAGCTTCAAATCAAGATTGAACCACTTATTTTTTACATGCAAGTTCACTACAGCAGCAAGGTCATAACTAAACACATTCCTGCGGAGGGAGCTGGTAGGAACGTTGGGTTGCTCGGTCAATGGCCTGCAGGGTCAACGGCGGCGTGGTGTATTCCGCAAATATGCCCGACTGTGAGGGCGGGCACAAGCCGGCGTGAGTAGGTGAAACGTTGAGTTTTATAAGGGCACCACGGGGTGACCAGCCCCTCCCCACCCAGCCCCACCCCTCCCACCCCCCACCCAGCCCCACCCTCCCCACCCAGCCCCTCCTCACCCTCCCCCTCCCCACCCAGCCCCTCCCTCCCCACCCAGCCCCTCCCTCCCCACCCAGCCCCTCCCTGCACGACGGACACAATAATCCCCTGTAATAGGACAATCAATAGAGCTATTTAAATCTTTGCCCTCAAAAGTCACCTCTCTAAAAATATCCTCTCCCCCCCCCCCGGCCATAGTTTTGGTTATTTACAACTGCTGGCTCCATCTGATTTCTACTGCTTTCCGTACGCGGCGGCGCAAATATAAATTACAAATGTAAATTAGTATTATTATCATCATGGGACCTTTTAGCCAGTACTGACGATATAGCTTCTCAGCCCGAGCTCTAAATGCTCTGCTACG